CTTATGGCAACCCTAAGACGACATCTCTCATGGGTTTCAGTGGCTCAGTGAGTATTTGAACCCTGGTCTTCCAGAGTGTCACAGCCCAACACTCAAATCACTAGACCACGCTGGCTCTCGCTCTCCCAGCCTTGCTTCTCGTTCCCCCGTTTGAGCAATCGGCACTCAGCGCGCATGCGCACGCCACTCTCTAAATTGGTGCCCTTCCTTCATCTCCTCTTACTCCCCCTCCTCCCCGCCTTCCTCGCGCCGCTACCGTTTAACGGCTCCGATGCTGAGCGCGGGCGCGTGACGTCATCTGCCCCCTTTCCCGCTCTGGGAAGAAGCTGCTCTGAGTGAAGAATGGGGGAAGCTTAAGCTTAAAATCCCGAGCACTCTTCAGTCAGGAAAACACACACAGTTTCGACTGCCTTCATACTCTTTTGTGTCTTTCAAGGTTCGCACACAAATATACCTTAAGTCATCCCTTTCAGGGTAATTAGAAAGAAGGTTCATAATCACAAACTCCCCAATTCGCATTTAGCAGCAATTTCTGTTAACGTTGGCTAAACGCCACGTTAGGAGATTAGTCCTGGTTTGTACATAGCACACTGCAGAAATAATCCAGTCTAAGACCGCTTTAACTGCCCTGGCTCAATGCTAGGGAATTCTGGGGACTGTAGTTTCGTGAGACATTCAGCCTCCTCTGTCAGAGAGCTCTGGTGCCACAATAAAGCACAACTCCCAGAATTCCCTAGCACTAAACCAGGGCAGTTAAAGCGGTCTCAAACGGGATTATTTCTGCAGTGTGTTTTTGGACCTTTAAAAAATAAAAGCCCTTGGGGAAATGGTTCATTTCTATGGGACAAAAAACATACTTGAATTAGGAGCAAATTAATACATATGCAAGTGCTTCGTTTTGAGTAGGGGAGTAACTCAGAGAAACATATTTTGAATGCCTTGAATTCATACACTAGAAGTTGAATTTCACAGGACAAAATAAAAATATAGTTGGGGGTTTGGATGAGTTTTTCAAAGTTCATATTTCAGAAGAGTGGAAAGATGGGCTGAATAGTAAATATGGAACTGGAGCAAAAAGCAAATGCTTTCTGTTTCCTGCCTTCTGATCAGGCAGAATCCCACTTAGAATATACATTTTTGACAATATGGGATTGGATATTCAGCTATGTTTTATTGAAAGGAAGAAGGCTCAAGTATACTGTATAACAGCAAACTATGTACCAGTAGGAATTCCTTAGAGATGAAATGGTCAGAGCAGTATTTGGTGTGCAAATTTTATGGACTGCTTCCATATAGGCATCCATTTGAAAGAAAAATAATAAGAAAAATACTGTTTAATTTTTGTTCATTTAAGTTCCATCTTTCCACCAAGGAAAGATATCCCTGCCATTTTATTCTCAAACCAGTTCAGTACTTTAGATTAAGAAACAAAGATGGACTCATGATCACTGGAGAATTTAAAAACTTGAGTGGAATTTAAACCTTGATGTTTCTAGTTCCTTGACTTGATGTTAACCACTATAACACACTGTTTTTCTCTCTCAAACTGTGTGGTACAGACAGGACTTTTGACAATTTTCCCCTACTTTTTCATTTTTAGGCAGCGGCATAGTTCCTAACTCTCGGACTCTAGTCTGAAAAAATTACACACATATATCCTAAGATTCAGTCCATGATATGATACATGGCCAGATATGATACATGGCCAGCATTAAACTGGATTATTTTTGCAGTGTATTTTTGGACCTTTAAAAAAATAAAAGCCCTTGGGGAAATGGTTCATTTCTATGGGACAAAAACATACTTGAATTAGGAGCAAATTAATACATATGCAAGTGCTTCGTTTAATGCTGGCCATGTATCATATACTACTATTGTTTCATAAGTGCAGGGTGATCAAATGTCCTCCTTTCCAGGACATGTCCTACATTCCAACTTTCTGTCCAGGAGGAATTTAACATTTATATTAGTGATTTCAACTTTTGTTTTACAATACCCTCCATTTTTCTTGAATATCCTACATTTTGCGGTGCCTTTGCGGTTATGACAGCTGGTCACCTTGCATAAGTGAACACAGTTGCTTAGTGATTAAATAGTGTCCCATGTTACTGCATCACAATTTAGTAGTTCCTAACCAATATTTATAATGAATAAACACCTCCATACGATTATAGGGTTATTTACACTTTGTTCCTGTTTTCTCAGAGGTGAGTCTTATTGAGTTCAATGGGACTGAACTCATAGTTTTTAGGAAAATACAAACTAGTGCTATGCTGAGCATAATGTTGCTTGTAAATTTCAGTAGATAACAGCACCATTCTTATCATCATCAGCCAGTATGGCACCTACTGGAAATGGTGGGAAATATAAGTCTGACAAATCTGAGGTACTGATTTAGTGAAAACATTTTCACTCTGAACATAAATTAATACTGCAAATAGAGGATACAGTGTTGGAAATCATCCATAGAATCCTGAATTTTAAGTTATGCGCAATTATTACACTCCTTGGATTAGTTGCACTTGCAGAGGCAAGTCTTTATGGCTAAAAAGTTCACTGGTAACCATGGAATAATCACTATGTGGTACAGGAAAACTGTGATATGATTTCCAACATTTCTTTTGTCTAAACGTACCTGTAGGTATCCAAATTTGATCTGAATTTCAGTGAGAGCAGGGAGAATATTTTCCACAGTACTCACCCACCCACTTTTAAGGGGTATTTAAAAATAAGGAGATATTGTGGCATCTAATCTATCTTGGCTATTAGATACTTCTACCTCACAGATTTTTGATACAAGTTAAAAGTGCTGCCCAAATCTCTACTGAGGAAGAATGCTTTTGTATTTGATGTATGCATTTAATTTTTGAGGAAATACTATTAGGGATGTACAACTGATCGTCATTACATTGAAATGATGAATATATCTAGAGACCCATAGCCCTTGCAGACAGTATGCAACTAAATATATCCAGAAAAGCACAATCATTCACATATTTTTATTTGTTATAACTGTTGTCAGGTTTCAAGGTAGTACACCAAACTTCTCAAAATGGAGAATGAGACAATTCCAGAAGCATCTTCCCTTCATAATTTCGGAGTCATAAAAAGACGTGTGAGGGAGAAGAAGAATGGAGTTCTAAAAGTTACAAAGCTGAACACTTCGCTTGCATCTAAAATCAAAACTAAGATGATAAGTGAGTGTTTGAAATTATAGAAAATACCTATCATACAAATATAGTATTTTTATATATTGTATAATTTATTTGCAAAAACAGGTTCACACAAAAAAGGAAAGCAGTCTTTATTAAGGTTATTTCAAATTATCCAAGGGGGTATTGAAAGTCATACTCTATTAGCCCAATCCATTTTCTATGGCTGTGTGAATTAAAATAGCCTAGTCACAATGGAATGACAACCCCAACCCAGCTTCTTGAAGAAAGAAGTTACCATAGTTCCAGCTGTAGCCACAAGTAACTAGACACCTGCAACAACTGATAATAACAGGCATGGTTGGTATGCACCTCAGTAAAAGCATCAGGGTAAATCTATGGGGTTCATTTGAGCACTGTGGGTTGTACTTCCAAATGTCAGTTTGTACTGGTCACACATGTGGAAGCCTGCTTATGTTAGTAGTCTGTATTACCTGGGAGGCATACAGTCAAAAATGTTGCTTCTGAAGGCTGGTATTATAACTGGGAAGCCAGCATACTGTAGTGATGTAAGTGGTGGATTAAAAGCCTTATCACATTATTAAACAAACCTGGCAGGCAAATGAAAAGAAAAGACATGTGTTGTTGTTGTTGTTTTCTCCCTCTGCATGATTCTCATTCTCTCAGATTGTAAAAAGCATGGTAGAGTGTTGTAAAAGCATCATTTTGGCTAAACAGATTATTTCAGCTTGGTAAAAGGGACACTTTTACAGCCCTGTTTTACAACCAGAAGAGAATGAAAGAGAACTACCTCATGTGGAGGGATAGGAAAAAAAAAACCCACACATCTTTTCATTTGCTTGCTGGGTTTGTTTAATAATGTGATAAGGCTCTAGGAAGCCATGGTTCAAATCCCCTCTCAGGATGTTATCACACGTGGGCCAGTTTTGTTGTTAAAGAGATAATAAA